CATATGGTAGAATGTCAAAAGTGACCTCATTTATGTCTTTCCCTCGTCCTTGTTCCTTGGATGTGCCCTCGCATACCACCTCTGGGCTGACTCACTCTGATGGTGGGACCCTTGCACGCTGCACCCCAGCAGAGACTTGAAAAGCACTTGCACGCTGGGGTTTGCTCTCTCGTTGCTCTTGAAACATTGCCACCCTAAGAAGAATCTGAGCTAGCCTGATTAAGGGTGCCAGACCGCATGCAGAAGAACTGACAAGCTCCTGCCAACAGCATGCTGCTACCAGCACTGTGAGTAAAACCATCTGAGACCAGCAACCCCTAGCTGGCCCTCCAGGGCCCACAGAGCCAGCAGCTGACCACAGATGCATGAGGAAGCCCAGCCAAGGTCAGCAGAAGAACTGGCCAGCTGAGCCCAGCACAAATCGCCAATCCACAGAATCTTGAGCTAACTACATGTTGCTACACAGCAACAGATGACTAATGCACCCAGGACTGCCCCACCCACTCCAGATGTAGTAAAGGGCAGGATGGCACTTGTACGAGTTAACCGAGTCTCTTGCAAGAGAAACACTTCCACAGCACCCTAATACACAATCAGGACCAAAGGAGACATACGTGCCCAAGACAGAAATGTCTTAAGATACAGACTACTGGAAATGGAGTAGATGCTTCTACTTAGGTTTGCTTGCACTGACTTCCAGCCTTACTTGCCAAGGCTGGTTTGGTCTCCCTGCCAGGCAAGAGCGTACCTCACATACTGTCATGGAGCTCTCACTTGAGATAAATGTGTCTCATGGTCCTAACTATGCATTATCTCAAAAAGAATTTCACCACCAACAGCTCAATTGTGGCTTTCTTGGTTCCTTTACCTTGTAAACTAAGCACCCAGCATCTATTTCTATTAAACTTCTGTTATTTAGGGAGTTTGAAATCTCACTGAAATGGAACTGAGGCGTTTTTGTTTTAAGTCATCCCTGCACCCAATGTGGGGCTCCACTCAAGACCCCGAGATCGAGAGTTGCACGCTCCACCGGCTGAGCCAGCCAGATGCCTCAAGACAGAAATGAATGGTTGTTTAACTGTTAAGGAAAAAAAAAAAAAACTGTAAATAGGCTGAAGACTGAGGGAAAGCATGTAGCCTGTGGTCACGGGGAAGAGCTGTAAAGGTGGAATTTATAAAAATCATTCTTGCGGGGCACCTGGGTGCCTCAGTCGGTTAAGCGTCTGCCTTCAGCTTCAGGTCATGATCTCAGGGTCTTGAGATCGAACCCGGCATTGGGCTCCCTACTCAGCGAGGAGTCTGCTTCTACCTCTACCTCTCCCTCTGCACCCCCCCACCCACCTCCACCCCGCTCATGCTCTCTCTGTGTCTCAAAGAAATAAATAAAAAATCTTTAAAAAAATCATTATTGCTTTCACTGTAGGGCTTATGTGGCTGATGCTTGCCAGGAGGGTGGTGGGAAGTAAGGGATAATGGTGGGTAACAGACAAGCCCACCACACAGTCCTTCCTCACAGCCTGCCAGACTGATGGTGGAGGCAGCCAAAGAGATCAAACTAAGTAATAAGAGCCCACACTCACACCTCATTTACTACGTGCCCGACATGAACTCTGACACATACCTGACCTGTACAACCACCCTAGGGAAAAGGTGCTGGTGCCCCCCATTTTAGGGATGCAGAGATTGGTCAAGGAAGGCCTAGAGCCCCACGCCTCGTCCACAAGGACCTGGTCTGTTCCCTGCGGTCTGGCCCACGCTGTTCACTGCGCTATCTTGCTTTGCATCCCAGAGAGACCGGCTTTCCCTGAAACGTATCTCTTCAAGATCAACTGAACAGGATAAACAGAGCAAAACTTCCCCAACATCTAAAGGAAGCAATTTCCTTGCCAGGGGTCTTCCACCTTTAACCTAGTAGTGTGCAGGTGGCCTGGGGAAACTGACCTGCCTTGACAAGACGAGATTAACCAGAGGCTACATGAGACCAAAGATAAGGTTTTCTCCTTGCCTTCAAGCTTTTTCTCCTTCTGTTCTTCCTCCTCCTGCCCCCTCTGTATTGGGGGGCCCCATACCTCCTCTGCCACAACTTCCTCTTATTCTCCTAGAGGCTTTCTGGGCTTCTCTTCCTCCTAGAATGTATCCCCCTTCTCGTGGGGCCCCTAAGTGAGTCTCCTGCCATCTTTCTGCAGTCCCTCGACCCCCATTACTCAGCATCCTGGGGTATCGCCTAGGTGCCCACATGCTTCTATCCACTGAAAACAGAACCACCAAAATGGAGATGTTGTCGAAAGGCTTCCAGCAGTGAGGAGGGAGGTGGCCACTCAGGCCTCTCCAAGCCCTGCCCCAAACTGGACATCTGTTGAAATCCCTACTGTGAAGGGGCTACCTTGTGGCTACCTTGCGGCAAACCCATGAGAAGAAGGCATGGGAGCAACTCCTGGGAGAACATGGCACAGAGGAGAGTGTGCAGGCAGGACCCTGCCCCTGGGCCCACGCCAACCCCCCTAGGTGACCTCATGTTTACCCTCTGAGCCTCAGTCTTCCTAACTGAAAAATGATGACACCTGTACAGAGCCTTGGGGGTCAGGGACCCCCATTTTGAGAGTCTGATGGAGCCTGCAATCCACCTTCCTTTCCAGAAAACTGCATATACTTAACATACCCATGATGTCAAAAGGCCCACAGACTCTAACCTAAAACTCTCCACCACCTACTTGGGGAAGTCCCCAGGGCTAGGAAGAGCTGGGGAACTCTAAGGAAACCTTAGCACTCAAGTCTGACTTCCTCCACCAGAAGAGAGATAGCTCTGCTAGTGACATGCTCACATGTCCCTTTCCTCTTTCGGAATAGATTCATTCACTCATTAACACATGTTCATCAAGCTCCTGCAGAGGGTTAGCCACTGTTCTGGGCACCAGGGACACCACACGCATGTGCAGAGAAACAAAACACTGGCACACCTGCATTTTGGTGGGAGAAGCACACCACCATCTCAGGAATCTAAGCCTTGCTCTGGGCCATTGCGCCCGACATCTGCTCTCTGGAGGGAGCAGCATGAGGGGACAGACGCATGAGTGTCCTCAAGTAACACAGGTGTGCCTTCACAAAGTGATCCATTTCCATCCTGACCACTGTGAATCCTGCCCTATGGAAATGTAAATATTTCTGGTTTTGGAAACTTGTTCAAGGAAAAGGAAGGTCCAATTCCCCTCAATCCTAACACCAACTGAAAATATATTTTTCCAAACCTTCTTTCTTTCCTTCTGTTCATCCCTCTTCTCTTCCTTCCTCCCAGCTCCCTCCCACCCTCCCTCCCTCCTTCCTTTCTTTCCTTCCAGAAATGAGGATAGAGCTGTGATCCCATGAGAAACAGCTTGTTTACACCTTTTTGAGGAGGGGGAGGCATGGTGTTTCATCACTGCACACAGGAGAATTTGCTGGGTGCCAAGAGAAGAAAGGAATGGTCAGCACATCCGGCAGCTGCAAATGGAGTGACAGGGCTCACAGCTCTTGTCGAGGCCCTCCTGGCTCCACACAGCCCCCTGCTGTGTGTGTCTCCAACACAGAGAGAACAATGTCACCCCCAGTCCCTCAGTGACCACCATCAACATCCCCACCCCCACCCCCAATGAACAAGGCTGTGTGAAATGAAAAGAACCTCCTACCAACAAGAACCTTGGATGACCCTAAAATATGGGACAAGGGTTGTCTTGTAATCTCAGCTGTAAAAATTCGCACCACTGAAGACCATTTCCTCCATTTATATAATAACCAATGGTTTGGCTTGCATTCACGGACAGAGTGCTTCTGGGATTAAGATCTAAACCTCGAAGGTGTCGATAAACAGACAGTGGTGGACAACGGGTGCTATTCAGGAAGCAGCTTATTTTGCTATTTTTTTCTAAGATTCCACTGCAAAACAAAGCCAGATTTGTATCTGCAGAACATTCTTATAGTAACTGGAAGAAATTATCCCTTAACGAAGCTGTTGGAAAAATCAACTGCAAGAATAGCAGCCGGCCCTTCCTCTGGCCATCAGAAGATCTTTGCTATTCGAAGAGTCTTAAAAAAAAGAAACCGCCCAGAAGAGATGCCCTATTTAAAAATAAGGCATTTTGCTATGCTATAACAAAGGCAGAAACATCAGAAAGAGAAACAACAGCTCATATAAGAGAAAGAAACTTCTGGAAATTCTTAAAATAGGCAAAAGAAAATCAAATTGCTAAGGAAAAGTTGATTGATCTGATCAAAAATTGTGTCATTGCTATAAATTCAGAATGAGGTCCACTTTCTCAGAGTTTAGGTGTAAATTTCGTAAAACAACCCATTAAGTCAAAGGTGCTTCATTTTTGAGTCCTCATTGTGGAGAGCCAATGTAAGACAGGATTCCTTTCTCACCTTCATGAAAATGAACTTGTCCCCATCATTAATATTTTCTTGGGAATTAGGTTTGCTTGGCCATGCTCCCTCTCCTCCGTTTCTCCTACTGGTTTATTCCAGGGATGCTCCAGGGAAGGGTCCCATGGGGCCCCACCTGTCCTCAACGTCAGAGAGTAGAGCGGGCATCTTCATAGCAGAGATAATAAGGGGTGTGTGGGGAAGGAGAACCCTGTATTCCCCATGCACCTGTCACTTGGGGAGGCACCTAGGAGCTATCCTTCCCCGTCTCTACCGCCATCATCAACAGGAGTGGGCAACTTTAGTTCTTCCACTGCTATCACATGGAACCACTACTATGTGGGGACTCAGCCCTCTTCACCTGTCCCCTGGATTATGGCAAACACCTCCAACCAGCTGGCTGTCCAAGTTACAAGTCTGACTACAGCACTTCTGGCTTAAAACTTACCAACAGGGCTCCCACCCCCTGAAGGTTCAAGGCCAAGCCTGTAGCTCAGCCCGCAGCCTCCCCCACCCACCCCACCCCCCAGAGCTTTGTCCCCTACCACCTCTCTAGCTTCATTAGGTTCCTGCCTTCTGCCCCAGTAATACCACTGCTGGGGCTCCTGAACATCTCATGCAGCCCACGCATTCCTGCCTCGGCTCCCTGCTATGCCCTTCTTGAAGGTTAAGGGCACTAGCTGGAAGGATGAGTAGGAGCTGAAATCCAGCCCACATTCTGTTTCCTAAGCCACACACCTGAAGGGCTGGGTCTACCTGGATGGACCCCCTTTCCTCATTTGCACAAAGGCTCTGCAGGGCCCAGCTGTTTCCTATCTCTAGGGGCTTGCCACATCACATCACAATTTTCCATGTGTTCACCTACCCCACCCCTACATCAAACAAAGCGGTCTTTGCCACCCTCTCCCCACCCTGGTGCCCAACACAATGCCTTGAGCATGTAGACGTCAATAACTAAACGTTGGCCAAACGGGCTGGTTGAATGGGAGCGTGACTGTGGCTGAGCAAGAAGAGCAGGGAGGTGAGCCCTAACAGCCTGTCTTGCTACAGAGGCTTCCAAAGAGCCCAAGAACTATGCTAGCGCCTTACAGCTTGGGGGCAGGTCTCAGGGGCTGGGTGTGGGGGGAGCTGGACTGTCCTCACACCCATGGAGACCAACAGAATGGAGTTCAAAATGGCTCCTTGTAGGGACAAAGAAGGGATGTGATCTGGTCCACCCTGAGGATGTAGCAACCAAAGGTAAGTGATGCAGTGACACCTAGTCCCGCAGGTGGCAGGAGTTCAGAGTGGGGAGAGGTCATGAGAGCTGCAGGAGGCAGCAGGGGACATAGGAGGAGGCGGAAACACTCAAAGCTATAAGCAGAACTCGTGGAATCTTGCCCAGAACACGCAATTAATGCCCTAGGCTGGGGGAAGGGACAGGGACACTAAATAACTGACTTACAACCTGGTTAGAAAACCGAAGGGGGAGGGGAGCACAGGAAAAGCCAGTCTGATCTATGAGAACAAAATTCCAGAAGGCAATAGGGATCAAAATTATGTCCAGCCAGATGGTGGAGACGCTGCATCCCCAGGGTCCGGATCCAGTTGGCTGGGAGGAGCCCTTATCTTCTGGGGCCACTGGGGCCACGCCCAAGGGGCTGGTGGTTGATGTGAGGAGGACATTATGAGGGTGGCAGGAAGGGAGTGTGTTTTGTAACGTTTAAATATATCCCAGCTTTGAGGAATCACTTCTTCTCCAGGTAAATTTGCATAGGTGGGAGGAATTGTCCTAAAGCGGCATTGCCCAAAATTGCGGCTACAGGTTGTGAAGGCTTCGTGGAGAAAGGGATCAGTGCGACCCAGGGCAGAGGTAGAGGATGTCAGCTGAGCCCCTCTCTGGGGAATAAGGGATAAGGAGAGGAGTAGCGGGAGCAGGGACCTGGGTTTATTGATTCTAGATCCACTGACAATGGCCAAGGCTAAGAACTTGGGGAGGTTCCAGAAACGATGCCACGTGACCCTTGTTAGTCCCTTTCCTGCCATATGCCCCATTTCCAGCCTCCACACCATGTCACCAAGAGGAAAGTCCTGAAAACCGCACCAACGGCGCACCGCCTCGGATGCAGCCCAGACTGGTGGAATGGCGGGGGGAGAGGCAGTGGCACCCATGTGCGGGCGTGGCTGCGGGGTGACTGGTGGGGAAAAGCCAGGTTACTGAGACCGAAGTCAGATGCCAGAAAGGCAAAGAGCACAAAGCCAGCAAGGTCTGGAGAAGGAACTCCAGGGGCTTCTGTTCTGGAAGTTCTCTGAAAATGTAGGGGAATTTGGAACAAAATGCTAAATGAAATTTTCAAAAATGAGTCCCTTGTGAATTCCAGCAAGTCTCCAGGGAAGGTGTGTGCATCGGGACCTCTGCGAGCGAGGGGCAAGGGACAACCACACTTTGGAACAGCTCCCCTAATAGACCAGTTGTTATCACCATGGAAGCTAGAGACAGGAACACTTGTCCGCTCTTCAGACCTGAGGGGCTGCCCAGAGACCAAGCACATGGAGGGAAGTATCAGCTTTAAAGAAAGATGAAGGGCACTGATGTATGTAGCCAACACACGCCCACTGCGGATAATCAGGCCAACACGCTGTGGCCCAGGTCTAGAACTAGGCATCTGCTGGGGACCGCAGCTGCACCATCACACAGGTGCAGGGGGGCCCCGGCCCTCCTCATCACACAGAATCAAAGGAAGCCTTGAAATCCTCAAACTGAGTATGGTTTCCGACCACGTGGGGCAGGCGCACCTTCACTGTTCTGAGCGTGGTGGGGTAACATGCCGAAGCTGACGTTTAATGTTGTCCTTTAATAGACTAAGGGTCACATGGCAGACTGAATGCAAAGGGGCTAAATGCTACTCCAGTGCACAGGAGCTCACAAGGCAACCCAAGCCCCACCGGGCGGAGGGGTGGGGGGCTGTCTCCGTCTCCCTGCTGACATCAGGGCTGGAAATGTGCTGAAGAACCGGTATCGTCAAAGTCCGAGACACCGCATCTGGATAAAGCATCCACGCCCCCCAGGGCCTCCCAAGATTTTTGGTTTCCAAACGATCCGTATCTTTCATCTATTTCCCACTTCCACTAATTATGAGCAAACGATTAGGGAGAATTCATTATTCTTTTACTCTTTACTGCAGGATGAAGTGATCTTCAACCTTAATGAGAAATGAAAGAATTGATCAGGAAGACGCTACTTAAAGAGACGAAGGTCTGTCTTTCTCAGTGGTGCATTAAGAGCAACTGACTTGGAGCCAGAGGGTTCTGAACTGAATCCAGCTACGCTAGCTGGGTCATCTTAGGCCTGTTCTCCCACGTGTAGAATGGAAAGAGTCATGGTAACATTTACCTCACAGGTTGATGTGAGGTCCAATGCAAAGCAGTGCAACCAAGAGGGGTGCACACAGACCCTCTGTGTAAGGTGACACCTGGGGTGGCTTTGGAGGTCTCAAGGTCCTCTGGGAGAAAGATTTTTTTTTTTTAATGGAGCAGAGCGGAAGGACAGAGAGAAGGTGACATTTGTCTGGGTTTTCCCCACAGACGGTAGAACAGAGAAGGCCCTGAGCTTAACTGGGAAAGGGCCTTGAGGACACTCCCCAGAGGGTACAGACTGAGGCCAGTGGTGACCTGCTGTCCCCTCCCCCTTCCTGAAAGCAATAGGCAACAGTGTTGAAACTCCACAGCGGAGATGTTCCAGAGCGCACAGGAAGGCAGGGCTGCACAGTAGCTGCTGGCTGCCCGAGCAGCTGCTCTCGGTTATTAAGACATGGACATGTTCTCGTAGCAGTTGGTATAAACCTCTGCCTTGAGGCCCTCACCACTCCCCATCACTCTGGCTGCCATGATCCCTCCTCCAGGAAGCTCTAGCCCTCCTCAATATCCAGAGATGCCACCACAGGGTTAACACCTGCCACAGGGGGCCTCCCGGAATTTCTCATTGGTCGGGACTGCTGGTGAAATGGTTTGAAGATCACCCCTGACATTGGCCCCAACTCCCTACGATCTGTATCATCTCCATGGGGTAGAGGCAGAGTAGATGGGGGGTGGCCCCTCCCCCGGTCACATTTCTCTCCCAACTCCCAGGACCCAACTGCCTCAGCCACCCACCTACTTTCTTACTGCCATCGGCAACCACTACAACGCAAACCCTGACTTCCCAGAGACAGCTCAGTTCAAACTACGGGGGGTGGGGGTGTTGCTGCTTCTAAGTGGAGTAAAAGCTAAGGAGCAGACAGAATTCCCCACAGCACCACGTCAGCGTGGAGATTGTGAAAACCATTCATGGCCAAGGAAGGGCAGCCAATTCGGCCATTCCCGACCCACTCGCCCACCGCCCTGCAAGGCCCCAGCCAGACACCCAAGGCCCTCCTTATTTCATTGACCTCGAACTAAGATGGCCTCCCCACTCAACCAAGGAAAACTCCCAAAGTCCGGGACCTGGACATTAAAAATGTGTACTTCCAATTCTTTGTCCTCTTTTTGTAAATTGATCAAATAATGCACCACATACCACAAAGTTCTTAGAAATTGAACTGAGAATATGCAATTCTACAGCCAGTTAAGTCAGAGTGGAGAATAAGTCAGAATGGAGAATTAATGATAATGCTTGACAACCCTTTCTCTCCCTCCCTCCCCCTCTCTCTCCCCACCCCCAACTTCCTCCCTCCTTCCTTCCCTCCCTTCCCCACTCTCTCCATCTGACACGTATGCAGACATACACACTCTCTTCTCGAGGAAATCTTCAAGAAAGGTATTGCCAGAACAGGTAGGAATTATTACCAGTCCATTATGAGAGCCAGTTTACAGCTGCCCTGAAGCTATGATTTAAACCAGGTCTTTAAAAGTCCCCATCTCGGGGCGCCTGGGTGGCTCAGTTGGTTAAGCGACTGCCTTCGGCTCAGGTCATGATCCTGGAGTCCCTGGATCGAGTCCCGCATCGGGCTCCCTGCTTGGCAGGGAGCCTGCTTCTCCCTCTGGCCCTCCCCCCTCTCATGTGCTCTCTGTCTCTCTCATTCTCTCTGTCTCAGATAAATAAATAAAATCTTTAAAAAAAAAAAAAAAGGTTAAAAGTCCCCATCTCTGTGTTTTTAATGGGCAGCTACCTGGATTACCTTGTTGAAAATATAGGAGAGACTCTCTGGCTGTGCTAGGGTCAGGTGATTACTGAAACACAAAGAGAGACATAATCCACCTTAGACCGTGTCCCCTAGGAGACCAGAGGCCTTCGAGGCAGGTAAAATATCCATGGGACAGGAGATGCTCACCCGTCACCAGTCCAATTGGTTACCACAAATAATTTCTTTCCCTGAATAACACAAACAAGCAGGGTTTTCCCTGTTTTGTACAAGAGGAGGGGAGCAGCCGGAGACCAGCTGTCTGATGATGTATAGTCCCAACGCCTGTTTCTAATAGCAAGACAAATCCTTGATGGAAAATGTACAAAGTAATTGAGCTGGCAAGAAATCAGAAGGAAATACCCAGGCCCCTTTCTTCCTAGTTGTACACGTATGAGACCTCGGAAGCTCATAACCAAGCAGGAAAGAGAACGAAGATTACTCTATTGATACAGTTTTGATTTTCTTATCTGCTTAGGTGGCTTTCTGGAGTTGTTGGGTTTGATTTTTAGAGGAATGCCTGTACCACAGGAAATCAATTTCAGTACAAAAAATAAAGTCATGTGGAATTTTTGAACAGTGCCATACGGTGGAATCCGTATCCTGGTTGTTATAATGAAAATAGAACTCCTGCTTCTTAATTAAAAAAAAAAAAAAGATCAAGTATAAATCTCAGCTTTGTTAGCACTGCTGTGCCTGACGTGAAGTAGGTCATGAGGAAAGTGGCCCCAGAGGAGATGCTACATGAAGAAGGAGGAGAGGCAGGTGAGAATGTGCCCGTGTGCACATGGGGCAGCACTCTGGGCCAGACTTACTTGGGTGTGCCCGTCGGTTTCCAGTACCTGCAGAACAGGTACTGTCCGTCGGCATTGACCAGGTGAGGCAGGTCCTGGTATGGAACGCTCTGCGGGGTCTGCCTGGGAGAACTTTCCTCCGGCATTCTGAAAGGATCTGCAAGTCCTTGAAAGAAAAGAGGACATATTTCAAAGTCAGAAATATGGTAAAACACACAGAGATGGGGAGAAAAGCCTTGTTTGGTGTCAGTAATATTTTTTAAGCGGTTAAAAAAAAAACAAAAAACCCTCCATTTCAAAGATTTTTAAAAACCCATATATTTCTTGCAATCTCTCCGAGACTGAAAAATCCCATTTGTTCTTAAGAAAATGCTCACTTTATTTTTTAAGTGCCTCATTACAGCTTTTTCCCCCTTCCCATCTGTGTTTATTTTAAATCATTTCAGGAAACTTCATCTTAAAGACTATTTTAGCTGTAATCAAGTGGAAATTACAGTCAGCTCTGTGGGTATAAAGACCCAGCTGCAAGAAGACCCATCTATCTTAAAATCCCCAAGGAAGTTTCAAAGGGGCACAATAATGAGGTGGATGATACTCCAATTAATTCCTCCTGTCTGAAATTCCAAAGATTCCATGACAAACCTGTTTCCATCATGTCCTGGTTTTTGCATTCCACAACCACGACAGCATGAAGGATCAGAGCCAGGCAAATAAGGGCTGTTCCCTCATCTCGGCCGTCACAGGGCAGCATTCAAGCAGCTCCGGAGCCCCTGTCCCCTACCCTGCGCCCTGCCCCCAGAGCCTGCCTTTCGGGCTTTAGGGGTGCGGAGCCCGGGAGCCTGCTACCAGCTCGCACTGACAAGCTCTCCGGGGCTCCCCTCCTTCCCCAGGGGCGGGAGAACAGGCGCCTGAGATGCCCCACTACTAGTTTAGGTCATTACTTTCCTTACACAAACCGATGGAGGGGTTCGGGGACCAGAGGGGCTCGCGAGCCCCGGGAAACTGGGAAACTAGCTCCGCGCACACCGAGGCACCTCGCACACGCACAAATGCGGGTCCCCGAGGCAAAGTCACCCCCGAGGCTCCTGACAAACTTTGCTTCCTGCCTGTCTCCGACAGCGCAGGGAATGGAGCCCTGCAGCTGTCACTGGGAAAGCCACCGGAAAAACCAGGAGACTTCGCCGAGCGTGTGCACGGGGACGGCGGGGACCGGGAAGATGGAGTTGACGGGGACAAGTTGGTTTGGGGGCTGGTGCGAGGGAGCAGGGGAGGGCGCGCGCACACACGCGCACACACAGACACGCGCACCACAGACACGCGCGCACACACGCGCGCGCACCAGGGGGCGCGGGAGCCCACGCCGAGCGCGCGGGGGACCCCCGAGGCTGCTCCCCACCCCTGGGGACGGCACTTGCTGGCTGGGGCGGGGGCCGGGAGGCAGTTACCGGGGCCACGAGCGCCGCTGTCGCGTTCCCCGAGCGCCGTGGGTCCTCGTCTGCGGCGGGCCGGTGCCGGGCCAAGCTGCGCGCCGCCGGCTCCGCGGCGACAGGGCGCGGCGTCTGCGCTGCCACTTTATCCCCGGGCCGGCTCGGCGGCGGGGGCGGCCCGAGGTGGGTGGGGACGCGCGGGACAGGCGGGCGGTGCGGAGAGGCGGCGCCCGGGGCCCACGTGTGCCCGGCCCGCGGGGAGGAGCTGGGGGCACAGCCCGCGGACCCGGCCACGCGCTCCTCCCCGCCCGGCCTCGCGGGAGGCCGCGCCCCGGGGTGGCGGCCTGGGGACCGTCACGAGGCCTGGAACCCAGCCGGGCTCACCCGAGTGTCAGCGCGGCAGGACTCGCCACACCCACGCGCAACACACCTAGCGCACACAGACCCACGTAGGGACACGAACGCACACCACACACACAGACAGCAAACGCACACGGACTACATGCGTGCACAGACCCACACCCAGATACTACACATACAGCCACAGAAAACACACATGCAGATGCTACATGTTCACAAGGACACACACCACACATGCAGGCATGCATAGACGTCCCCACAGATACACAGGCATGGACACATGGGGACGCACAAACATACCACATGCACAGACACACAAACGCATACATACTCAATACACAAAGCAGACATGCGACATCCACAGAGATACACAAACCCACATAGGCACACATAGAAAGGAACACAGAGTGACACGCTCATGCACACAGACACCCATAGACCTCCCCAAGCATACAAACATGACATGCACATATGGGCAGACAGTCATATTGTGCGCGCGCATGCGCGCACACACACACTCATATACAGACATATTCACATACCCCCAGAGAGACACACATGGTCAGACACACACATAAAAAGCTAGGGTGGGGGTGCACAGCTCCCCAGGAGGTAGGGTAGGGGCAGACTGGTGTAGGCCTTGTCCCTCTACTTTCATCCCCAGCAACCTTCCCCAGGTCCCAGGAGGTGGGCCCCCAGACGAAATCTCTGGGGCATCTACACAGGCCAGGGGCAGGTCTGAACAGTGTCCAGTACAACTAGCAGTGTAGCTTAGAGTCCAGATCACCTGTTCTAGCTCCTCCGTCCTGTGGGCCTTAATCTCCTCACCTGTAGCCTGGGTACAATACCTGTGTGACAAATGTCCCCAGCTCACACTGACCTCAGCTGGCCTTTGTGCCTTTCCTTCTTTCACAAATAACTTTACACCATAGCAATGTTGAAAAGAACTGCTGTCCTCCAGAAACTGGTATCTCAATGTCACATTGTGTGAGTGCAGGGGGCCCAGGCTGCCTAGAGCCTGTGATCTAACTTAAGAAGTAAAACAATAGCCTTTGAGAAGCTATGAGTTTTAAGTGCCGCCCAGTGGCTCAGCCAGCTCTCTGGCCTCAAGCAGTTCACCAGGCCCGGGACAGAGAAGGGGTAGCTAAATGACTTCTCCGAGGGGCAGTGTACAAGATCCATGCAGGACGTGTCTAGACGCGTCTAGAGGCAGCAGCCCTGGTGCAGGGAGCCGGGGGCGGGCCTTCAAGCTGGCCCTGCTAAGTACATTGTAGGCAATTTCTTCAAGGCGGGGCAATTGGGGATCTGATACAGGTCAAGGGGGCCCAGAGCCCACCCGTCTACCTTGGATGCTGCTGTTCTTTCGTTTTTTCCCAGCTCCAACATTCCAGAACTTTAAATAGACAGTGTGAAAGTTTGGAGGGCAGATTTTGTTGAAGTTTTCGCAGAACTTCCCTAGAGATGGTGGTACAGAGTTTGAAGATTTGCTTGCTCGGTTACCAGCATAAATGAGAGCGCGGTGTGCCGTCAGCAGGTTGGCAAACTGGGAGTTAAGAGATTGAGACTGTGCTGTTGTATATCTGGCTTTTCTTTTTTTTTTTTCCTAAGTAAACATTTTATTTTGAGATACTGGTAGATTCACATGCAGTTTGGTAACAAATAATACAGAGAAATGCTGTGTGTCCTTTACCCACTTTCCCCCAATGGTAACATCTTGGGAAACCGTAGGACAGTATCACAACCAGGATATTGACATTGATACAGTCAAGATGCAGAACGTTCCAGAACATTGTGCTGCGCTTTTGTAGCCTACCCCCATTTCCTTCATAATCCTTGGCAGGTGCTAATTTGTTCTCTGTTTCCAAAATTTTCTCATTTCGAGAACTTTTTATGACTTGAATCACACAGTATGTGACCTTTTAGGATTCACTGTTTTTGTTTAACATTTCCGGGTGGTTGTGTGTAGCATTCTAGGCTGTGGATGAACCACACAGTTCGTTGAGAGACTTTTGGGTCATTACCCCTATGGGCTATCACAAATAAAGCTGCTTTCGGCACTCGTGTAGAGGTTTTTGTGTGAACACGAGTCTTCATTTCCCAGGAGGGTAATTGCTGGGCCATATGGAAATTGCATGTTGTTTAAGATGCGATGTGTTCCAGAGTGGCCATGCCATTTCACATGCCCATCCGGAATGTGTGAGAGATCCAGTTTCTCAGCATCCTTGTTAGCATTCAGTGTTGTCTCTCTTTCTTTCCTTTAGCCTTGACCACCCCACTCTCTTTTCTCCTCTTCTCCCTCTGGGACTCGATGATCCGATGTTAGATCTCTTGTTATAGTCCCATAGGTCTCTGAGGCTCTCTTCGTTTGTTTTCCTGTCTATTTTCTCTCTGTTGTCCAGATGGGGTAATTTCTAGTGCCCTGTCTTCCAGTTCACCGCAGTGTTGGATGTGTTGAGCACGAGGTGCTTGTAGGGGAGGCTGGATTTGTGGGTCTCGAACTGAAGAGAACAGTCAGGCCAGAGATGTGGGAGTTGGCCCAGAAATGATCCTTGCGTCCGTGGGATGGAGCACACTCACCTCAGGAGAGTGGGCAGGCAGAGGTACAACTTGGCAGCCTGCGCACTGCTTCTGGTCCGAGGAGGTTGAGATTGGCCGTTGCTGTGCTTTCAAAATACTTGAATTACTAGCCAACATTCCATGTGATAGTGCTGGTCTCTGGATTTCCTCTAAAAGGCCAAAAGCCTGGCAATATGGGGCCACATTTGTGCCTGACGGTGGTCAGCATTGTGGCTGGATGGAAGCTGCCCTCTTCGGGTGGTGCACGCATCTGCCTGTCTGCCAGCCCCTCTGCTACACCCCCCTAAAGAAAAACTAACTCTCCAAATTGATTCTGTGAGACCAGGATTACCCTGATACTAAAACCAGATAAAGACAATACAAAAAAGAGAACTATAGGCCAATATCTCTGATGAATATAGTGCAAAACTCCTCAATAAAATATTAGCAAACCAAATCCAACAATACATTAAAAAGAATCATTCACCACAATCAAGTGGGCTTTATTCCCAGGTTGCAAGGGTGGTTCAATATTTGCAAATCAGTCAATGTGACACATCAATAAGACAAAGGATAAAAACCATATGATCACTTCAATAGATACAGAAAAAACATTTGACAAAGTACGACATCCATTCATGATAAAAACCCTCAACAAAGCAGGTTTAAAG